GTGTGAGAAACCACAGAGCTCGCTGGAGCGTGATGGGTTATTCTATGTGTCGTAGGGCGACAATATGCGGTAAGTCGGCGTTACGCCTTGAGTATGGCAAACTCAAATTAAAGACGACATTCTACGCGCACGTTCACACTCTGTGGCAGACAGCGAGAAAATTCCAGAGGAGGAGAGTTTCCGTGCCGCTGCACTCATCGGTTAAAGAGCTCTTCAACATCTGCAGTAGTTTTGCCAAGGGCGAGTAATACAACATAGTCCACATCGCGGGTACTGAAGTGCCGCCTCATTCAGCTCAAAGTCAAGAGTGGTACCTATACATTGGAATTTCTTAAGGTACTAAGAAGCGAGCTCGGAGAGCTTTCCGCTGGTCAAGCTCAGCTGGTGTAGTAGCCGGGGGTCGACTACGTAGACGCCTAAATATTGAGTTATCGCGTCTTTCGCTTCAAAAACGGATCTGCCGACCGGAAGCCGTATTCCACACCAGTGTCTAAAACCGACAGTGAATGCTAGCGTTTGAGAGCCGCCCTGTGAGCAGCCTCCAACTGCTGTTCCATTGCCTCGTCTGAGGGATGAGTAATGATACCATTTCCCCCGAAGCCGAGAGGTCAGGAAACGGACACGGTGTCCGCAAGGTTCGAGCAGGGCTCGTGTCGCGTCGTTGGCGCACCTCACCCTCCTCTTCTTTCCAACCTGGAAAAGGATTATCCGAATCTTGGTCGACTTTCTTCGAATTCTCGACGAGGAAATTAGTTGCCAGTGGTGGGTGCGGTGTGCGGCATCCGGTTGCCGAGGGCTTGGGATGTGCTTTCCGTGAAGCCGCGGACGTACTTTCAGGAGCTAAACCGCTTGGAGAAGACGAAGAAGGGCTTTCCCGCGGGTCCTCGGAACCAGCGAGGCTGAGTTTCTTCCGTGTCCGAGACACAGGGCTCACTGAGCAGCGGATGCGTGAAGACGGTTCTAGGTTGGTATATGTGTCTTGGACACGCGGGCCTTGTACGAGGCGACACTTAAATGTGAATTGTGGGTATTCACAATTTTAATGGGGAAGAGTGCATCGGGGTTACACGTACCCTGGTATGAAAGGGTGAGTCACACAAGATGGTGTGGCCATACTAAGGTGTGGATTACGCAATACGGTGTAATCACACAATGGTATGGCTACACCGTAACAAGAAGCCATTACGTGGCAATAGTTATTCGTGTTAATTAGGTCCTACGATCTTATTAGGAAAAACTATAAATTTAGATATAGGCGACTCTACCACAAATGAAACAGCTAAATATACTGTCATTTTCAAATGGAAGAGTACATTTGCTGTGGGTTAAGGATTTGAGTTCTCTTGGAGGTAGAGGTTACCGACCTTAGTAAGCTTCCTCTAAGCAATAAGCTACGGCATTCCGCTGCAGAATCTGCATATAGTATTTGTGCTCACCACCGAAGAGTATTTGTATTAGTAGCCCACGGCACGATTTTGTAAACAGCCAAGCGCTACTCAGCGATGTTTGCATCGGACAATGTTGCCGTTCTTATCAAATTTGTGTGTAAATAACGACTTTCACCCGATAACTCATGCACCATGCGGACACCTGAGCAAATCTCATGTGCGATTGCGAATGCGTCCCTGAGTTCTTTGCAAAAATTTTCACCGTTTGGCCCCTATTGATACTATCGCTTCTACATTGCTCGTAAGAACTTATGTTGCTGCTGATTCGCTTCCGTATTCACCAAGCCGATGGAGTTTGGATTGCAGTTTATCAGTCACACCGTCGTCTTGAGAACTCACATAAGGCTCATTTGCAAGCAGAGGTATGTCATCGGCTTATCTCCGATGGTCAATAGCCGAGTCTTCACAACACGAGGTTAGCGCCCAGACCTTGATCCACTGCTAATCACCATGCGATCAGCACTGAAGGTGACTTGCCTGGGTTGTACTGGAGCTTCAATATCACGAGTGGGCAGGTTACAGCGGTACTTGTCCGGACAAAATTATCTCGGATTGTTGGGGTGACCCGATCGAAAATCACGTTCAGATAAATTTCCAACGAATTTCGCCTGAACATGTAGTATCAGTGACAGTGCGAGAGCAATCAGGGATCCCCCACGAAACTTCGACACTGGAATATCTACTTCCATAGGCATAATTTTATCTTCCGTTTCATCGATTCCCATGTGGGTGTCCTCGCACGTGTCGTCGCACTCAATCCATCGTCGTCGTCTTTGATCTCGTACTTCGTTTGGCCATCTCCACTATCAACGAAAACAACATCGAGATAACGAGTAGGTGGCCATTTATTTAGCGCCACCGTATGCATTTTGACCAGTCTTTTGTTGTCGAGGTTTCGGACTCGGTATTCCTTCGAGCCGTCAGCATATTTCAAGAAGATGCAGCCGTGAAACCACGCGTCCTATTCCGTCCTCCTTACTAATTTCGAGATGCACGTACCCGGTAGATCTAAATATTCAAAGGTGCTCGAGTAAGTTCTGCGTGCCGGTGAGAACTTCGATTGGAGTCTTGCCGCGACGCGCAGTGTTCGCGATATGATTAACTATATGAAAATCTGTCGTCACGACCCTCTTCAACAGTATCGCTCCACTTCCTATGATCATCATTGCTGATGCCATTTCAGTAAACGCGCGGTTCATTCTTGAATACGGAGCGCTGGTTTGATGCACGATGACGTTGGAGGCACAATTCCAATTGAAATTCGCACTGGTGTACTCTCCACCGTAACACACTTGATCATGTAGCCAGTTTGGCTCTCTGGGAGGGCTATGAACATGCAAATGTGATCATGGACTTCTGCTCCCAAAAAAGCAGATACACGTATATGTATCTACTGTAGTCATTAATAAACGTGAGGCTTTACATTCCGATTTGGGCTTCATTGGGCCCATGACATCAATGTGTACGACTTCCAGGGGGCTTTGAGTCTTGACCTCACTGCCGGAACTTCGTATGAACGGAATCGTTGTCATTTTGCCTTACCTCGATTATCGATCACATTGTGCTGAAGTCCAGGCAGTCCATCACTTATCTTTGCAACAGCTTGCATCTTCGATGCGGAGATATAGCCTAATCGGGCCTGTCGTAACGTAATATCTCCACGCACTGTAGCATATGCCTTCGCGGCTTGTTCTCCCTTCGGCTGCTGTGAATATCACAAACAACTTACCAATTCGATGAATCATGTTTAGCACTCCAACCACTACTAGCGTCGCTTGTTCGCGCTCAAACTGCACGACAACGACATGTTTCGTCAACGCCGGAACGAACACCAGCTTTCTACCCAGTTGAGGCAGATATAAATCGTCTGTCAACTTGTTCGTTAACGAATCTCCAACAACGAAACGCACGTCCTATATCCCTTTGGCTAGCAATTGCTGTCCACCAGCCATGATGATGCTGATCGGCATCTTCAACTCTTGATAATTTTAATGTCCATCTTCTCATCCGTCACGTGGCAATTCGCTCCACTTTTGAGCAACCGTGTAATCTCTCGCGCTGAACTATCGGTTGTGGCCGAGAAAGGAAGCTAATCCTTCATTTTCTTCAACTCGGGACAATGGCCACGCTTGTGACCGTACACATTGCAGTTAAAGCAGTACTCAAGCAAAGCTAGTTCGTTGTCCTTCTTCTGGTGCTGTCCACGACCACCATTGTAGCCTCCTTGGCCTCTTCGGCCACCACGACCACCATTGTAGCCTCCTTGGCCTCCTCCGCCACCACGACCACCTCGACCACCACGTTGACCTCTGTTACCTCTTCCACAACACCTCAACCACCTTGCGTGCGCATCGAGGCCTTAAAAGCTTGCTCTTTCCTTTTTGTTTACTCAAACTCATGAAGTAGCATCTCCTCGGCGCCCAGCAACGTCACACTCTCGTGTGCCTCGATGATACGAATATTTGCATCATACTCCTGGGTAAACTATCAAATAAAAAAATGACCAGATTCTCGTCTTCAGACACGACCTCGTCTACCGCAGCCAATGGTGAACGCATATCATCAATCTATACGATTTGATTCATCAGGTCTCCTCCATGTGCCAAGCAAAAAACATGTAGCTTTTTCTCAATTGCACACGGTTACGAAGCGACGGTTTCACGAAGAAAGCACGCAGCGATTTCCATGCGTCATACGCAAAACCCGCGTCACGAAGTATTGGTTGGTAAGATGGACTTAGCATTTGGACCACAATAGCCAACGCCTTCATGTCGGCGGCCTTCCACTCCATTGTCTCACGGCGCATTGCATCTTTTGGCTTCATGGTTTCGAGGTGTCCTTGCAGCCTCTTTCTGGCTTGGGCTCATAACCATCAGCGATGTCTTGTTTCTCGCCGAGCAAATTGGAAAGCAGATTAGCTATCGAAACCCTAGCTAGCTCTTAACCATAAGCGCATGTTCTTTATCCTTGCAAAATTGATCTACGAGAAAATACTTTCTCAACGTGCAAGTTGCCTTTGTACACCGTGCACAAATATGTGACCTGGTGTCAAAACGCCCCAAGAGCTCGCTCAGAAATAGCAATGTTAACGTTGGGGATCGTTCAGCACCTATCCCATTGCCCAAGCGGTACCTTTTTGCCCAATCACGAATGCAAATTTAAGAATCCAGCTAATATTTTTTGTGCACCGTTTGCGAATGATACAAGACAGACAATTGTTGTTCTATAACGAAGCGCGCGAACCGCACGTGTGGACGTTCGTGGATGCGAAGAGAGAGAACAGAAGAGGAAAGGAGAAGAATAGAAGAGATAGGAAGACCGCACATTGACTTTTGCAAGCATGAATGACGCGCAATTCTCTTTGAAGCACAGGGCATATCCCATTGCGCTCAAAGCCTTCTGACTACCTTTAACTTAGTTTTACCCTATCAAGACGCAGCTGGCACTGGCTCAAATATATTGACTGCGCCCCAGCAAGGAAAATCGGGAAAGACAACAGATTGAGGGAAAACGTTCGATATTTGGTACAACATGGTCTATCGTTAACGTATTTTACATCAGTACCAATTCTTCTGAGCCTTTAGCATCCATTTTAGGCGCTAATAAGCCCATGTGCCAAAAGGTATACGAAATTTGATATTTTACTGCTGTAGTCATTTGCTTCAGCAGATTCAGGAGTAACGGTATGAACCACTACTAGTCTTTCTCCATTGATCGTCGCAATCGATTCTTTGGTAAGAAGAGGAAATTTTCTCAAAACTGAAAGCCTCTTTGTTTGCCGAAATGACACTGGAAGGCTTATTATGTAATGCCCACGATACGCATATTCCTCTTTCTTTTTTTCGTTCAATTGTTTTCAGCATCTTAGTGCATCACCGTTACCTTCCATTCCTCTTTCAGGTAAACAATCTTAGCTTCAGCTTCTTAGCTGTGCAAGAAAAGCCACTGTCATTTCGGTGTATTCCGTATAAGTCACAACAGTCTAATTATGCATTTTAAGTGGCGGATGCAATAAGCGGGTGCACTAACTAGCATACAGTCGCCAGGTTTGTTTTGTTTAATCAGTATTGGAGTGAGAAACATCAAGTGTCGACGACCGACTCGTGCTGCAGACTACAAGACAGACACAATCATTTGGCATAGAATTTAGGAACGCGCAGTAAAGACCTATGGGTTGAAATTTAATGAGATTAAACGTATATGACTAAAACATTACGAGCTATAGAACCAGGCTTGCCAGACCTTTGTTTTGTTCATCGTTCATCCAACGATGTACGGTGATGCCGAATGTTGCAGCTTCAATATTGTGAAAAGGAACACTTTTCATGTATTTGTTAGTAAGCTGTGTATCAATTAAAATTTTAGACCGTCATCATATGTGAGTAAAAGATAAAGACGATGTAGCTATTGCGAGGCGCAAATGGCTTGATGTCTGCGAGAGTGTATTGCGCACTAGTTTTATCAGCAAGGGTGCCATGTACACTAAAGTGACGTGACGTCGCTAACAATAAACGTTCGCAACTCATACACAAACATTGCGCCCGTTATAGCAAAAATCATGTTGACACGCGTTGCGGGTTTTAACAGTGCTATAATACTTTGCAAAAATTTAAAATGGATGCCTAACCTTATGCTATGGATTTGTCACTGCTTGATAAATAGTGTATCAGGCTGCATAAAATGATTTGATGCACAACAATATCGTGGCATGCCTGAAAACTTTACCAACGAAGAAGGCACGTCAGGATGTGCTCAAAGTGCTCGCGATGGGCACGCGCTAAATATCACGTGGTGTCAAGCCTAGACAATTAAAGCCTTGAGATCATTCATTAAGCGTCGCGTCAATCCGACGAGCGATCGCCTACACGACAAAAGCGATGCGTGGCTCTTGTGCTCTTACAAACGTGCAAAAATATACTCAACTGTGTAAGATATGCATATATATTTCCGTTTTATATTGTTGAAGGCCCGACTAAAGTTACAAAAAGAACCAACACAGGTGAAATACAATCTCTGCTTTACTTTTATTTATCAAAGGTGATTAATAATCTGTTCATCTGTCTCCATACTGAGAGCCCCGTAATATCATACTCCCGAATGTATTATTTCTTTTGTGTAGGCGATAGTTGAATGCTCTCTAATAAGACTGCGACCGTCACCATGTCTGTAATCCCTACACAATTACTGACACGATATCATACCAATTGACCTATACCCTACATTCCTTGCGATCGCATCACGGATTGCAAATCTACTAATTGCGAGCTTGTATTGATCTTGTGTCACCAAATTTACAAAGATGAAATCAGACTAAATGTAGCGCGGGCTCTATTTATCACGACACCTCGCTGTATTTTGCTTTTAGAAGAGCAAATTAATCCTTCTGCAACGGGGTAGCCGTGCAGTTCGCACACAAAATAGTTTAAGAGCGCGCAGAGAATTCGATCCGACCTACACGAAAGCGAGTGACTCGATCTAGGACGACGCATTTGCAGTATTAAGAAAGAGGGGGAAGACAAATCGATATGTTCCATCCAGGAACAGAACAGAGAGCATCCCACGACATCTAGTGCTTCTTCGCCCTACTATCGAGAGTGATATACGTTTGACTGAGTATAAATTTGTTGGACTAAACATATCTGTTTTTTGACAAGATATGCATTTCTTGGCGTGAGAAAAAGCTCGTGTCCTACAGACCTTTTCGTTACGGCACCCAACCTCTTGAGTACCAAAGTTTTAGTACTTAAGAGTCTTGCACAATTTCATAAATCTCAAATGCATGTTTTTCGCGATTGCACATAAACGATATGTATCTCGCGCAAATTCATAGAATGTAATCACATGTACAGCATAATGCGGTGCGTAGTCTCTATTTGGAAAATAATGATCTGGATTGTCCTAACGAATCGGCGTTGGTGACATTGCAACATAGTGCCACTTTTCAAGAAACTTACGCATTACCGAAAGTCTACTTAATATCACAGTATAACCTCACATTGTGAATACAAATAGGAAATATGTATCGAATATATCGATTTTGCTTTCTGCGTCACCATGCGGTCTGTAAAAGGTACCCGACGTCGGGGGTCAGCACCAGTTTAGCTTCCGTCAGCACCACACCAATGCCGAGATGCTTGCTTGCCTTAAAAAAACATCAAGACGCCGTCTCTTTCTCCGTAGACCAGGTTGGAAGCCCATCACTTCGGTATTATGAAAGCATTTGTCAGCGACGTTTTGTTTCTAGTCGGCAGCAAAGTCAACATCACTGTTTAAATCGATTTTACAGCCTCATTTTGCACAGAACCAGAGCACATCCTAAGCTGCTTTGGTTGAATGCCACTATTATCACGTGCTCTTGTTTTGCTTGATTTAACTCACGT